GTATAGAAGGCTGATATTTTTGTGCATAAACTTGGTCAGACTTCAGAAAAGTGTGACTAAAGACAAAACTTAGGGCATCTATCTTGTGGAAAGAGGGACTAGGTTAACAGTAAGCCATTAATTAATGTAATTTACTGCCACAGTAGGCAAGAGGGAAGGCGAAGGCGGTGAGACAAACCTAGTCTTGAGCTTAAGTACGCCGTTGGAGGAAGGAACTCAGGATCAAGCTCCAATGTTGTTTCATCATCTGGATCGTCCAGGGATATCTAAGATACATTCAATTCGAGGTAATCAATTGCATAAACGCGACGCCTACTCATGACATGAACAAGGTGGGAAATATTTTAGATCATAGTCATCAGTAACACTGTGCTAGTCACTAAGTAAGCCATCTTATAGCAGTCACAAGGTCGTAGGTGAAGTAATTAGCACAGTGATATAACCTCTGGCTCTTATTCTAATCTAATTCCATAAAGCCATGTGTATAACATAGTAGTGCACTAAAAAAATAGTTAGCTTATGACTGAGAAATGTTAGCCATCAGCATCCAGGACAGTTCAAATCGCTTTAATAATTTTCTTAGCTCATTATTAACTTATTATCGCCACTTACTCCAACTACAGGTTATTAGTGATTATCAGTCCACTCCATTCTAGTGTATCATCTAGATGCACAACTACATTTCATCACACTTGAGAGCAATTTGGGATCAGGCAAAAAGTTACCACATACCTTCGATGGTTCATCGATGTCATAAATACTGTCCATGGAGACTTGCAAAAAGCCCATTGCCCTCTCCACCTTCTTTCGTATGCCTGGTCCCGGAATCGAAACATAGGAAGGATTTAACACACACAAAACAGTAAAAACTTGTTTTTTATTTCATTGTATTTTCTTTAAGAACAGGGCAGAGCAATCCACAGAGCTATCATAAGAGAATAGTGGCTAAAGAAGTTCAGTTAAACAGAAAGCATACGCTCTTCTTGCTTGTCGGCCATCAGTCTCTGCATATCATTCCCGGTGAAACTCGCAGTCTCAATGCCACCCTTAGCCCACTCGCAGCATTTCATCCAGTCCCCATCGCTCAGAGAGCTCGGTTTCGCCACGCCCTTCGACCCCTGCACGCTCCCTGCTGCTGCTGCTGCTGGTGCGGCCTTCCCGGCGGCGCCGGCCGGCGGAGCTTTGCCGGCTCTACCGAGGTCTCCCAGGGCTCGCCGCCCCGCCCTGGCCGCAGGCCCGCGCGCCACCCCGGCTTTCTTCCCATCAACGCCTGGCCAAACAACGGCAGGGACGCGCAGCGGGTCAGCACAATGAGAGAGTTGGCCGTGGATCCGGCGAGGTGGGCAGGTGGTGGGTTAATTACCTCGGAAGATGGGCAAGTTCTCGTTTTGCACGAGGACCGGAGCCCGCGGAGCCTGCATTTCCTCCGACGGTCCGGTGGCGTCGCCGGATCGCGCTTGCTTGCTCGAGCAGTTATACTCCCACCGAGATGCGAAGCTGGAACTCCCGGCGGGGGTAGAACCCTGGAAATCGCAGGAATTGGCGCGCGCTGCGCAAGAACCCTAGCCCGACCTTGGATTTCGGAGGCTCGCCCGGCGGAATCCGTGGAAGTGGAGTGGAACAGTGGCAGGCTCGCTGGGGAAGGAGGGGGGAGGAGGCTGAGGACGGAACAGGTGACGCCAACCCAAACCTGGCCAACTGGGCCGGCACGGCACGCTAAGTACACGGGCCGGCACGCGTGCTGCCCTATCTGGCACAGCGGCCCGAGTAACAGATCGAGGCACAAATTTTTTCTGAAAAAAAAAACATATCAAGCCACGTATCTCCGAAAATCCTGTTTGACGCTAACTGCGTCAAAATGTCGAGCATTCGCACACGCGATCTCCCAGTGCGAGGCAGCCGGTTTTGTCGAGATACGCTAGAATTGGGCCGGCCCATTTCCCCACTGCGAGGCAGCCGGTTTTGGGAACCTTCCAGAAGGTTCCCTGAACCGGTTTTTTATTTTTATACCAGTTTTATGGTTTTCTTTCGTTTGCCTTTTTTCTGATTCATTTCCTTTTTTCCATTTTCTGTTTCTTTTCCTTCTTTCCTTTCCTTTCTTATGTTTTCTTTTTTCGTTTTTTATTTCTTTTGAAAATTGTTCGAAAAGTTTAAATTTGTTCATGTTTCTAAAAAATGTTCAAAAATGTTCATATTTAAAAAAATCACAATTTCGAAAAATGTTCACATTTTTAAAATATTGTTTTGCACGTTCCAACAATTGTTCTTGTCTTACAAAAAATCTTTGGAATGTTTTTGTTCATTTTTTCACAATTTTAAAAAATGTTCCTGCTCCAAAAATTATCCACAAATCCCAAATTTTGTTCATATTTTCATTTTTCCAGGAGTTTCAAAAATGTTCCTATTTAAAAAATTGTTCACAAGTTTAAAAAATTGTGTTTGCAAATTTTGTTCAGGAATTTCGAAATATGTTCACGTCTCCAAATTTTGTTTTGGAATTCAGAAAAATGTTCCCATTTCAAAAGAATTGTTAATGATTTTCAAAAAATGTTCTTGTTTTCAAAAGTTGTTCACAATTTCAAAAAATTATTTGTGTTTTAAAAATAAGTATTGTTTTCTATATTAGTTCATAATTTCAATAAATGTTCACAGTTTCAAATTTTGTTCCCGTTTTCAAAATATGTTCGCAATTTCAAAAAAATATCCGTGTTTCAAAAAATGTTGTTGTTTTCGAAATTTGTTCATAATTTCAGAAAAATGTTCGTGTTTCAAAAAATGTTCTCATTTTCAGGTAGAAACACAATTTCAGGACAATGTTGATGTTTCAAAAAATCTTCGCGGTTTCTACATTTTGATCGCAATTTCAAAAGATGTCCCCATGTTTTTTGTTCTCATTTCCAAAAAACATAAGAATACAAATATTGTTCGCATTTTAAAAGAATAATCGTGTTTTAACTTTGTTGGTTTTGAATTTAAAAATGCTTTTGTTTAAAAATATAATTTGTGGTCTTAGAAAATATTTGGGAATTTCCAAAAGAAGAAAACAAAAAAAATCACTTTTTCAAAAACTGTTTGTAATATAAAAAATAATTGCGGCATTTCAATACTGTCTGCGACTTTGAAGGAATGTTTTTCAAATCTCCACCTTGCTGTGTATTCTTATAGTGTTTTGTGCCTATATGCTGTGTGCGAGGTTAGGGGATCGAATCCTTGTCGTTCTCGTTTGTTTCGTAGCTACTCCCTACGTCCTAAAATATAAGAATGTTTTTAATACTAGCATAGTATTAAAACATCTCGTACGATCGTGCCGCTCCAACCGGTCCCTCCCGCAGCAACTCCTTTTTTAGGGAAAACGCAGCAAGTCTTTCGAGAGATCCCTACTTGCCCCTAATCGATACTGGCTAATCGCCAGTGTGTTAGGCGTGCCGTGCCGAGCCGGCACGCGTGCCACATGCCGGGCACGGCCCGCTAAGCCATGTGACAGGCCGGGCACACGGGCTATCGGGCTGGCACGTCTAGACCGGCCCATTTGTCCAGATCATTAGAAAGTGTAAACAGACTTCAGCTCTATTATCTTGTTGAAATTAAACCCAATGGACCAAGCTAATTCAGCCCTCCACATGGTCCGTGTACAGTGACTCACGAACAATCAAAATATCCGCATCCAAACCATCATATGAAATATTAGCAACAAAAGAGGCATAGAGACGTAGCATCACAATTCACCAAACCAAAAGAGAGAGTACATCGCCGGTAAAATAGACACAAATTTAAACTAAAATAACTAAATACTACTCCCCTCGTTTCTAAATATAAGGCTTTTAAAGATTGCATTATGAACTACATACGGATGTATATAGACACATTTTAGAGCGTAGATTCATCCAAAAAAAAAGTGTAGATTCACTCATTTTGCTTCGTATGTTGTCTTTTATTGGGCCAATTCTAGCAGGCCATCGGCCCCCCTCCCCCCACCCCCCCAAACTACCAGTCCATGAAAAATTAAGCCCAATGGGGCCACCATAAATTCTAAAAATGCTATGTGCCACATCTTCATCAACCAAATTATTGGTCTCCTCTCTCTCAAAGCTCCCAAAGGACACTTGTGAGGAGTATAATTCGATTCACCAAAATCAACATCACCTTCTTCCAACAAAAATGGTAATTATGGGAAATTACACAATTTCAAATGATTTCTAACCATGTTTCCAGCACCGATTTTAAATTCAGCATCCCTATATCACTCACAGCGATCTTCTCAACTTTTTTTTGCATTCACAACACCTTGAGTATTTCCATCTCTAACTTCGTAATCTTAGGGTTGGATGGGGTTTCTACTGTGAATAACTTTGATTTGCAATATGATTTTTCTCTTATCCGTAGCAGTTCTATCATCGCTAATGCGTACACAAAATGCAAATATTTCTCAGATTTGTTAATTATATCTGAATAAATGAATGAAGAGTCCTTCCCGACTTAGTCGGAATCCTCTCCCGCCGGAAACCAGAAGCGGCTGCTAGCCGAAAAGGCTCCTACATTGCCCGCCAGAGCACACAGAGCTTGGTGGAACGACGTGGGAAGCGTAGGGAACGGCAAGGGAGCCCCACCACCTTGTCCTTCCTCTTCATCTCTCGCCGCACCACCACCTCCTCATTCGAGATCTCTATCGGCATTTGCGCAGTTCCCGGCGGCGGCAATACCATGACCATCCCCACCTCGAGCTCCTCAAGGCCCGTCAGAGCGCGATCGTGAGAACAGAACTCCGCCCGTTTCGTTTGTTGCATCAGATCTGTTGATTCCATTTCCATCATTGCCTAGAGCAGAATCTCGAAGGAGGATCTGGTCATCCCGTCGGGAGAAAGCCTCTCATCTTCCTCCACCGCCAGTCGCTTGCAAATCTCCATGGCTTCCTGATTGACCTCTTCTGTGGTGACAAACCACTATTTGATCTTGCGGAGCTTCCCCATCTTGTCTACATCGCCCTTCGGCACTACCACGAGATGCGCCTCCATGCACTCCTTCCAAGTTTCCATGGAGCCAAGGGTGGAAAGGGGGTCGACAATCGCCGCCCACGGTGTAGTGGAATCAAAGGCGGAGGGGATTGGGACCGAGGTGAGCGGAGGCGACGAGATAGGAAGATAAGGGGTGGAGTGGGAGTCAAACTGGCCATATGAGGAGTCACGGCGATGACATTCATTACTCACCTCAGGGCCTGCGACGCGCATGTCAGAGTCGTGCACCTCCTCTCCCTGTACTGCACCGATACGTGCGATGTGGCACGGAAAATACACCAGAGCCCCCTCCTCAAACTCATCCTCCTCCCTCATGATAGTGTGTTGACCACCCGATGACGTTCGCACCAGCCGTTGTTCCTTCTCACGGCGGAGAAGCGATCCTGGCCGGAATATCAATAGGCTCGGTGCATGTATATCGAGGACGAACACGCATGGGAGTCGTGTGTCGCACACCATCTTTGCTTCCCTCTGTTTAGAGTCTTCCAGATCACCCTGTCCCCATTCCATATGGAGATGGGCGTGCAATCTCCGACACGCTTGATAAGTTCAACACTCAGAGTCTCTCGACTAGCGATGATCGCGCACCATATAGGTGAAGCTAATTTTGAAACCGTGGCACTCATGAAATCTTAATTTGAAAAATACTAGCTCTTCAAGATCCCGAAACATAGCGAATTTGGTTTCATCATCAACCGTCATCCATGCTTCCCCGCCACGTACCTAGATTTTAAACGAAAATGATAAATCCCAAATGTTCGGAATTTATCCATGGCAAATCGAACGTTTTTATGGCAATTTTAGTGACACGAGGATGACAAATTTAGTTGACATGCATGGCAATTTTTTAGCAAAAGATACACTGAGCACGGATTTGTCATGCTTGCTAACTAAACTTGTCATCCTCAGGTCACTAAAATTGTCATTGAAAATATTCGATTTGCCATGGTCAGATACAAACATTCGGGATTTATCGGGGTCCATTGTAAATGTTTCTAGTTCTTTCTTTTTGAAATAAATGTTTTTCTAGTCTAGTTCTCATAAACAGAGTTTTCACCCCTGCAAAAAAAGTGAGGAGGTGTTTGGTTCTTTGGCCGGTAATGCAAACGTTAATGGTAACAGGTCACGGGGGGAATGAAGGGGTAACAGTCCAATTGTTGTTTTGTTTGGCACATGCCAGTAACGTTATCAGTTGCCTTTATAGTGTTTGGTGTGGCACTGTAATCTGAATACGTCAGACAACTTTCACATGCAAAACCAGTTTTCACAGGCAATTTGACAAGGTTTTCACAGGTGCTTCACTAGCACAGATTCAAACTCATCAAATAAGTACATAATTTAAAAATATTTTTGCATTCACCCAAGACATCCTTTAACCAGATTTTGACACCACTTCTAAAATGCATATTAACTCATTAATACAAACTCAGACTTCAACAACAATTCGAGATAAATTACATAATTAGTCCCCAAAATTATTTTGTAAGGCAAGTCCAAAGGCCAATTTCAGAATCTTGCAAAATAGTTTTTCCATCGACCATTCCTTTGATCAGCCACACCACCGATCTTTTCTAATCAACCGTGCTTCTTTTTCTCATCTGCCAAAATAAGCAAGAGTTAAAAAAAATAAAGAAACAAACAAGAGACAGCCATTAATTCAAAAATTAATAGCAGAACAAGCACTCTGATTACAAAATTGTAATCAATCCTCAATCATCATCATTTATTCTGTTCACTAGAAAATCACTTGACCTAGCAAAATAATCAAGAACTCCAATGATAATTTACTTGACATATATCTAAGCAAATGCTTATTATCCATGTTCATTGTAAATTAACATCACATGTTAAGCTTGTCAAGTAGAGATTGGATGAAACATATACTACAAATAAGAACACATCAAAAATGTTCAGTTAACTCAATCTGGTTCGCAGCAATATATTCAGTTAAGTCATCCTTGCAATTGTAGGATGACCGTCATCTTGAGTGACGCTCGGGCTTAATTTCCATAGAATTTGTTTCTCACCATGGCCATCTTTATAGCTCCCATTTTCAGGTCATGATTAATCACAGGTAGTTTACTTCTATCTACAATCCACAAGTGCTTGAACCAAACAGTACAGGAAAAGATGATCAAGAACAGATCAATATTTTTCTAGTGTCTCATCGAATCAAGAAGAAATCAAGAAAAAAAATGTAAATGATGTTTAGCCCTAACCTAATTCGGTAGCATGGCCGGTGCTACTTCTCGATGGCAAGAACGAGGACGACTAGATGGCTTTGGCACTGAACAGTGAGGCGCTGGATCTGACACACACACACGTCCTCTTTGAACCCCCGCGCAGGCCAGCATGATGTGGACGTCCAGGCTCGAGATCTTGCGCAAGGACCTGGGAAACTGAAAGGAGGAGAGGTGTCCGGTGAAAAACCACAAGATCTGGTCGACTCGCCAGCGTACGCGTGGGGAAAAAGGATCGGACGGTCAGGTGACCTACCTACAGCCCTGAAGCTTGAGGTGTCGGGGAAGGAGCGTGATAGAGGCGGAGGTGTCCCGTCTTTCGATGAGATGATGGATTTCGCTTTGGTGGAAGTCGACTTTGACGATCCGACTACGAACGTGCGAGGACGTCGCGCCTTAGCAATCGCTAAACCAACTCCGAGAGGTTATTGACCACGCCGGAGCACGATCAACCTGACCACGAGGGTCTGTTTCCTGCGAGCAAACGAAGAACAAGCAAGAAACTGAGATTGCAATCTGGATATTGCGAATATAAGATGAAAGCTTTATTGATCAAGGTGGGGTTCTGTGACGCCTTTGTCTGGTCGTTGAACACAAACGAAGTACGCGAAGTTGCAGCTATGGCGAACTTTTAATCTAAACAAAACCCAAAGTCTAAACGATGCCCTAAGGGCTGTATATATGGAGGAAGAGGGGGGAATTTCGTGGCCCTTGGGGGAGGGGTCCGAAATCAACC